TGATTATCTTAATACTTTATTAATTAATTATTATAATTGAAAATAATAATAATATTCATTGTAGTTAATGTAGTTCATGATCCAGCTCCACCTAAACAGCATGTATCAGCCCCGCCTGAAGCCATAGAGGACAGAACAAGATTGATATACATGGTGTTCCTGAACCTCCTCTCCGTGCAAGGGTCAGGACACGCCTGACTAATTCCAAGCATAGCTTGGTAAAAAAATAACTTGCTTCTTCCAGAGCTGCAGATCTGAGCATGCGCGACCACACCCAAATTTTGGAGCACATGGCAAGCTTCTTTAATTAACAAAATGGCGGCATGTAGCTAAGATGGCTTGATCCAGCAGTCACAGTATCACTTTTTCCTTACTTGAAAAATGATCTGATGGGACATGGACCTGCGCATAGACTGTTGGAGTAGATTGGTGTAAGAATTATCCTTGTAGCACCAACTGATACTGAGATACACACCGAAAACTGGATTGACAGGACAAACTTTCTTGATGATGATAATGAAGATGAAAAAAGGTAGCTGAACAAAACGGCCGGTATGCCGATTTTGTATTTTCTCTTATACAAGGTCTAGAGCCATGCTAGTGGTACCAATGGAGTCCTCTGGTCAAGATAAGGTCCTCTAAGAAGTCTGGTAAAAATAGGAGCTCGTTTTCCCGGTATAGCAAGGCTGCAAAAGTCGTGGCAGCCATTTTCTTTGGGGGTGCATCCTACTTAGTAACGCTACCGCATTACTAATAATAAAACCTACATACTGTGAAGTTACTGATGGAAATGTTTGACGTATCTTTACAACAGAGCATGATGGTAAAACTACACGTACATCTCTCCCTAGCCACTGCCAACACCATCTGGTAAGTTGACGATAAGCTACATGTCTTAACTTGCTAAATGGTGGAAGGTAAAAGCTACACATGCAGTCAAAATGGACTTACTCGTTTACTTGACAATGGTAATAATTTCCATAGTGTTGCCTGTATGAGTAAAATGCTGTCTGTAGTACCCATCTGTCCAGACATACACTGGTGAAGCCTGGATGGGTAGTGATACATTGTACTGTTGGATCTAGCAGTTCATTTATTTTGGCAACTACAGGCTCTACTTCTTGACAGCAAATACACTCTTGAACAGTAGGCATGATTTGACAATTACCACTATGACACCTAAAGAATGAAAATTTTGCCATAGATGGGACCAGTGGCGGATCTGAGTGCAAGTTAATGGTAGGGCCAAGAAGTGGGTGTGTCCACTTTTCAACCCGTTACTTTATGGTTGTGCATCTTTTGGCCATTTTTATGATGGGTTTCAACAATTTCCTTATCCATGCAGTGCTTAGAATGCTCTTCAAGCACTT